CTTATCCAAAGCAATTTTCAAAAAAAAAAAAAAAACTAACCAAGATACAATGCACAAACATGTACATACGTTGATCACAAGTGGGTGTCATCCATCCCTCTTCGCATCCATGTTCGCATTTTCCACTTATATGATTACAGAAAGAACCACCAAAACACTGTCCCGTGCACCTTGCTTTACACTCCATACCATAATATCCAACCATGCAAGCTAATTTTAAATATTATGAAATAATTAAAAGTTTTTCTTGACATTTTAAAATAAAATTATTTTTTCTTCAATTGAACTAAAGAATAACAACCTCAATCTGTGTCAAATAAGATTAATCTTGATAGAAATCATATTATATTTGATTTGTTTTAATTGCCTCACGTTTACAATTATTCAAATCTTCAAATATCGGTTTACAATAGAAAATCAATTTTTAATGATAAAAAAATTGATATGTCTCATGATCCTGGAGCAGGAGATCTTGATTCTTACTCTTGTTACAGAAATCTCCAATCCAGCCAGCTGTACAACCAAGACAAGTTCCATTTGTTATATGACATCGTCTGTCCTGGCAGTGAAGAGGGCATGCAAGATCACAGTTTTGACCATAAAATCCATCCTTTTGACAGCCTTGTTAAACAAAACATAAACAAAACAAGATATTTATTAAATGTATTTACAATGCATAAAATCAATATAACTCGTAATAATGTACTTTTGTAATAGTAAAATATTACCCATCACATTAACTTCACATAACTCTGTTATGATAGTATACTCGTAACCGACAGGATATGATGCCCCATTTCGTTCATTGTTATATGTTACATATCGTCCATGAATGATACAGATATGGGTAACATCTAACAGAGGTAATTCTGGTCCATCTTTGTAACACAGATAACTGTTCTGTATGTTTGTTGTATTAGATACATATAACGAAAACCCCGCCAGTCTTCCTCTTTGGCGATTATCTAAAATTATGTTAGGAATGTGCATAAATATTTACATGTACATTAACATTTTATGTCTGAAACTGTCATCCTTGTTTTTAAAGTTTTAAACGGATTAATCCAGATTATTTCGATGTTTTTAAATTTGTACATAAAATAAACAGATCTACAAGATTGAGTCAAAGCAATTCATTGTATATTCCAAGGGCAAAAACAGAATATTATAGATCTTTTACAATTTACGGTTTACAGCTTTGGAATAAATTGCAAGAATTTAAAAAAAAAGTGTCCATCATTGCAAAGTTTTAAATCAGCATATATAAGAAATTATTTCCAGTCTACAAGCTAAAATGTTAATCACTTAGATTATACTTTTGATGTGTGTTTTTGGACGCAACTTTGAAAAACCATGTGCAAATATTGATTTTTATATTCTACTCGCTTTATATTTATATGTTTCTGTACATGATCTTCTGCCTGTATAAATACTTTCAGGACCACAATGTGAACTAGTTGTTAACTAATTGTGCCATCCTGTATAAATATAGGACATTACTATTATTGTTATTATTATTATTATTATTATTAACACGTGTAAGTTTGATATATTCGTGAAAGAACCATTATTGTGATCTTGGTAATCGTTATGATTTGTATTTCACTTAAAATAAAATTTAAATGATACTATTTCGAAAAAGTGATCTTTTTTTTGATAAATTGTTCTCTTTTGATAAGCATAATCTGAATTTGATAAATGACTTTCATGAACCTAAACAAATTTCTTTCAGAAAATTCAAGTTCTTTATAGGCCTTTTCAGATAACAAAACTGTTCTTTTGTAGGGAAACTAATAATATTTCACAAAAATAATTGTTTGGAAAAAAATAAACTTTCCAAGACAGTATTGAAATATATAGTCTCATAACTGCAAATATGTGTGCAAACAAATTGATTAACGCGCGTTTGCACACACATTTCCAGTTATGAGATTATGCCGTTCAAAAAACAATAATACATTGCTTATATTTATATTCTTATAACACTCTGCCTCGTCTACAAAGTGTTATCGTTCGTGTAAGCTACAGTAAATGGGAGACCAAGATAACAGATTCTGGTCAATATTAGCGTTATTCGATTACCACATTCTGCTTCCTCGGCGTTCAACGAATGTGAAGTCAAACTAAAACATGCGCTTTAACTTTATGAAACCCTTTCCGTGATATGGTGTTTTGAATGGAATAGATTTCAAAATTCACTTTATACGCAAAAAACTAGTGTAATGTAAATATTTGCTGTTATCTGACATTTCACCAAACTAAATCCATATGCCTTGTTTTAAGAAAATACCACAGTTATCTTGAAACAAACTATTTTCCTTCCAACAAAAGAGAAAAAAGACAGATTTTTACTTTTTATTGTTTAAAATCTATATAGTCTTAAATATGGTCGTTAATAAAAGAAAAACCAAATGCAGTTATTATTTGTTTGTTGTTTAATGTCCCTTTGGAGAATTTTTTTCACTCATATTAAGACGCCTTCACTTGCCGATTTAGAGCTGCAAATGCCTATACATGGCACTCAGGCCGATTGAGCCTTCAGGGATCGTTTTTGTGCCAACGCCCACTGCGACAAGGAATCTCGGTTTACTAGTATATGCTACAATCCAAAGAACCAGTCTCTACTTCCCGCAGTAGATTCGAACCCCAGACGTAATGATCATTTCTTTACTCTGCAATTCTAGAGCAGATGCTCTGATCACTTTGTCATTGGGGTTTATTGTTTATTACCTCAAGAGATATGACAAGTTCATGTTAAACCTCAGAATTATTTTTTTGTTTAAAAAAGTTAATATGATATCTTTTATTTAAAGTTTACTGAGATATATCAGGTCTACATATAATTAAATAAGAAACTAAATTATCAACTCGATTAAGTTTTCGAATTACAATGGATATCATAAATTTGACCGTTAGGGGAAAACTGTTTACGACAGGGTGTATCCAGACTATATTTTAGATATACATTTTCTGAAGGTATTTTAAGTGGGTATTTAAGAAAATCAATTTCTGGAGACAATATGTCAATCTACACTGTCTTTAAACATAGCATACCTTTGGAATTTATAGACGTCATTTAATGACATTTTCAATGCAACACAGGCAACATTAAGATTTTGAGAACAACTGCAAATCTAATAAAATTAATTTTTCCTTCATACTTTAGACGAATGCATTAATTGTAATTTCATAATGATTGAAAATTTTTACCTTTTACTAGGTCATTTCAATTGGTACATTGTGATATTGAATTACTAGGAAAAGAATCTTCATGTAATGAGGGCTACCATCGTATCAGAAGCAATAGGTAATTCAATGAGCAAATTTTTTGACAGTTATAGTTAGCATAACTTTATATTCATTCGAAGGTTTTAAAATAACACTGATAAGGAGCTCCAAACAGATCTTATTTAGTATTTTTTGTATTCTTGCTACATACAGCTTTGTGGTCCATAGTCTTTAAACTGTATCCTGATACGGTAGATACTCTTGATGTCGCCAAGGTCTACTCTCCACCATACTGTTTTGTATGTAGAGGTCGTACCAGTCGTTTCAGATCTCGTACATGTACTGATGTCTCCATCAACTGCGTTTTTTGCTGTGTACTTGTGACAGTATTCAGGACTACATCCCCACATTGAACTCTGTATTGAATTCTTACCTTCAGATAAATTATCTATAAGATAAAGAAATATACAATCCAATGCATAAAAGAAATGGCCTTTGCAAGAAACGAGGTTTTCATATTTTCGTTCATTTTGTTATTGTTTAAGCATTTATTATAAGAATACACGCTCTTATTCAATTCATTTTATACATTTAAAAATGTACGAGAATATAACAATAACTTTTCTTAATTAGCCCGAGACAGGAAAACGGTATGTTAAACAATTAAGATTACCATGAAGCAGAAGTGAACCTTTTGAACTAAACCTGCAATGTTCAAAAATTGCTCTGCTGACATGACGATGTTTGATTTTTTCCATTCCATGTATTTGCAGTACGTTATCTTTCAAAAAAGTCAGAGTAAAATCTGACTAGGGTAAGATCTAGAGTAAGACAGATTGTCTTCATTGAAAAAAAAAAAGAATAACAATAAATGCAACAACTTTGTCAACTACTTTTGATTACATGTTGTGGTGTCAAGAATGTCGTAAGAAAAATTGAATAAAGGGGACTGCTACATGTTTTTTTTTTTTTAAATACGGATGAAAATGAAATCGGAATATTTGATTCATGAATTGTACCAGCACATCAATCACAAACAATATATACTGAAACGCAAAAGAAACACAACAGCCTATTTTGGGGTTGGAAATGATTTCATATAGTAAAGAATTTAATGTCTAAACAGAATGGATACGAGGGGTGATCAAAACGTTCGCGAACTAATTGAATAACTTCCAAAAACGAAATGATATTTGGTTTTAGTGTTGATTAGTGTCCAATTTTAATGCGCATCTGCAACTGTTCTGCCCATGCGCGGATCACGTGATAAAAGCAGTCAAGTGACATGCTCCTCAGCGTTCTGTCACAGAAACTTATTTTTTTTCCGACTCTTATATTTCTTACCATGCATTAGTTATTTTTTGCAACAAAAACGGTCTATTTGTCAGAAATGATCAAATCTTAACAATAGTAATGTATGAAATTTAAATTAAAAAAAAAAAAAAACAATATTTTAAGGATCTGATAATTATATTATTCTAAAGATATTCATATATTTTTCTAACGGTTGATTGGCGATCTTTCATATCAAATTGCTTAACAAAGGAAGCATCTTTTTTTTCCAGTTTGCTTTCACTGGGCAACATTACAAACATCTCCTTTCCTTCACTTAATCAATCAATGCAATTAATGACAAAATTTCTGGCAACTCCTTTTCCTTAATTATAAACCGTGTACAAATTATTATAAACTTCTGCAAAGTAATTTCCAAGATATACGTTAAACTTTACGCCGTTTGTTTCTCGAATACGGTGGTGTCGACCATTTTTTGTCACAAGTGATCTACCATTTTCACATTGTGACGTCACAAACATAGGGAAAAACGTTCCATTACATATGCTGTTTATAGGACATGTGTTTGACTCTGTGTGTGCCAAATTTCATTCTAATCTGAATTGTGGTTTTGTAAATCTAGAGATAGTTCGCGAACTTTTTGATCACCCCTCCTTTGTCCAATTTTGTAAATTTCGGTAATCTAACGGTAGAACGATTTTCATACCATTACCGGAAGTTAAGTTTTGAGTCTGCTTAACAACTAAACTCTCCTTTCTTTTTCCGTAGCGGTGCAAAGGTTTCCTGAAAATGACTTTTGTACGCAATTCCATTGCTCTAGCTGTAAAATTTTGAAATAAAGGTGATGTACAGTTACTGGCGCAAAAAGAAATTACTTCACGCCTCAAAAGGCTCTTACGTATCATATGCATTGATGACAGTTCGTGGACCGGAAGTCCAAGTGTTTCTACGATGCGCAGCTGGGTTAGAGAAAATTCGGCCTAACCATCTGAAAAACAGGCATTTAAAAATGGCAAAGAATAATTTCATATCTCGATATTGATGAACCTATTGTATTGTAGAAATAAAGCTGCAATTATTGTGTAGTGCAGTCTTGAACGCTTTATTTGAATGACGGGGAGGTTCTGTATTAACAGTAATGTGCTACTTTCTAAAATCAAAAGATAATCATTTCACATGTTTATCAAATCTCTGATATTTTGAAAAGTAAGTTTAGCCTTACTGCATTCATTTTTCTTTAAATAATCATATGAAGACATTCAAGCATTTGTAGATTACTGTTTGATGCGTTTCTTTTGCGTTTCAGTATACATGTGCATTCAACCTTCTATACTCTTCTTTTATTCAGTAATAAGTTTTCGACTTGCTTTCTTACTGGAATATACACATTTCATTGCTTTTGTCTGACGATTTATAGTAACTCAGTCGGTAAAGTGCTTGTTTCGTGTTTGGAAAGGAGTTTGTTCACAGCGTCTGACAAAAACTGAAAAAAGTTTTTCACAAGCGCCCGGTGTATTTAATATATCCAATAAACTTTAATAACATTGACAATGCACAGCGATGTTATGAACTAAATCAATATTACATTATAGCAGCATGAATTTCTAATCTTCCGTCATGCAAAAAACAAGTGATATTTAAATTGCTGTTCCTCAACACTTAGCAACAACAAAAATGTCACGAGATTGTTAAGGAAGGGGTCAGCATAGTCAAAAATGTTTCTTACAGACATTTCCTATTCTGTTTGTTAAGTCATCATTTTTACTAAAACACATTTTCAAAAAAAAAAAAAAAAAAAAAGAAAGAAACGAATCTACGTTTTGACCTTACAATAAAAGAAAACTATTGCAAAATCAGGAAAACAGTTTAGGAACAAAATTACAGTAATTACCTCAAAATGTATAAGAAGCAATTTAATTTAGTTGAATCTTCAAAAACAAGACTCTGTATACATGTATATCCTACTCATTTTCCCCGGTTACAGCCATACCTAGATTTTAAGCATTTCCTTACTTTGTGAGCAAGAATCATGTATACAAAAACATACGCTTATAAAGTGTTCTTCATTCTTTCATGGGAAAAGGTTGAATAACATATATGGAAATATATTCCTCTAAGCTTTACCAGTTTTCCGATTATAATCATGCATACGGTAAGGAGCACCTGCCTGAACTACAAAATATCTAAATGTCTCATCAATAATGCACGCTAATTTTTGATTACACAGACTTGATCAATAAATATAAAGTTTTCAACATTTAATGTTATTTTTGGAGTATGAAATGCATTTGGTCGCATATAGTCTTTATTCTATTTCTTTTTATCGGTGTGTTTGTTGTCATATCTGTTGAGAAAATATGCTCTAGAGAATAAAGGAGGGCTGATTTTAAAATGCAAAATGTTTTTGAACTCATTTATCCGTATATAACAAAGCTTTGAGAAAAAGATGAACAGGTATGAGAAAAAAAGATGAACAGATATCAATAATTAATGTTTCTGT